ACACACACACACACACACACACACACACACACACACAGACTCTTCCTGCACAGAACATTGATTCCCAGCACTCCTGTGACTCAGCGTGCTGCCGAATCCCACAGCAATGACTACCATTTATTGAGTGTCTATTTTCTGCCAGGCACCATGCCACGTATTTTATCTGCATTTTATTGCACTGTCCTTTTTAATCCCCACGAAAAGCTTAAGAATCACTTTCACTGCCTTTATTTTACCAAGGATGGAATGAGGTTTCGAGAAGCTTAGTAAGTTCCCCAGGTCACACACATGTGATAAGCAGCAGGTCTGTAAGGATTCTGCGTGGGCACTAGTGGGGAGCACGCTGCCCGGAGGTCGGTGTGCACGGCACACACACGGATTTGTTTCCACTGCGGCTGCGTATCGTGGGAGACCAGACTGCGTCTTGAGCTCCACAATGCTCCTTTCTCTGCTGGGTGCGCGCCTGGCGCAGCGGCTGGGTGGCAGGCGTGCCCAGCTGTCGGGCAGCCAGCGCTGTCGCCCCTGTGCCGCCCGGCATTCTGCGCGCCCGGCGGTGGCCCCCGTGCCCTGTAAACACACCTCTCTTCCCTGTCAGAGCGGTGACAAATTAATTCTTGCTAAAGTATTAGTAGCTGAAAATGATGTGTGGTTTCCTTCTCTAATTTGTATCTTTTACGAAAGGATTTTTAAAGAAAGTGCTTTGCAACCAAAGGAATACCTACCTCTCTCAATGTAAAACTTCAGGGACATTATAAGATTCTTGAAGGTAAATGGTGTTGACTGTACATTCAAAATGGTGATGGTGGGTTTGGTTGCTATGGCCAGGATGTGAAGGAAGCAATCTTTTCACTCTGAAAACTTTCCATTCTCGTCAGTGCACCTGCAGCCTTTGCCAGTGGTTCTTCACCAAGACTGTCCAGAGACTCCGCTACCTTTAGCCCCCACTGCCTGGGTGAAGTCCAATATACTCAAAAAGGCCACTGCTCCCCTCCACAACCTGTTTACTTGTAAATGTTAAGTTTTACATAAATACTTAAATAATCCCCACAGGCCAGGTGCGGTGGCTCACGCCTAGCATTCTGGGAGGCTGAGGCAGGAGGATTGCTTGAGCTCAGGAATTCGAGACTAACCCGAGCAAGAGCGAGACCCTGTCTCTATTAAAAATAGAAAGAAATTAGCTGGACAACTAAAAATATATAGAAAAAATTAGCCAGGCATGGTGGCGCATGCCTGTAGTCCCAGCTACTTAAGAGGCTGAGGCAGGAGGATCACTTGAGCCCAGGAGTTTGAGGTTGCTGTGAGCTAGGCTGATGCCATGGCACTCTAGCCTGGGCAACAGAGTGAGACTGTCCCCTCCCCAAAAAAATAATCCCCACATTTTTCTCTAAATCCATATCCGTTAAATAACTATAAGCAAAAATTAAATTCATCATGCATAATTCTTTTTAGCAGCCAAGGTAAGCAGTGAAATATTTGTGCTAGAAAATCTATAGAAGTGAAAACAGAGAACTGAATTTTAAGTTTTGTATAACAATACAATGGGCATGGTTTCCCAAACTTGTCTGATAATAAGAATTTTGGTGAATGTTTGTTAAAATGCAGGCTCCACTCTAGACCTCAGGCACTAGGACTTTCGTATGAGGAAGAGTAGGAAACACTGAACTGGGTGAGTGTTTCAGCTGTTCTTCAACAAGGGTTTGCTATTTGGAATCTGGGGGCAACCGGTACCATGAGGCCACACCAAAAAATATTTTCCTTCTCCTTCGCTACCTCCCCTTCCTCCAAGAAACCCCAGGCCAGGCCGTGCTCCTTGCTAATAATATATAGACAAGCAACAATCCGGCAAAGACAATAAACGGTTATATGCAGTGGGTTAGGTGCTGGGATAGAGACAGAGCAGGATATTGTGTGCACAGCGAAGAGGAAGTGACTCATTCCAGCACTGCAGGCAAATTTGACTTCTAAGGAGGGGTCATTCCACACAGAAGACGCTTGGTGACAGGCGGAGAGGGTTGGGGAGGGCTGGTGTTCTCTGAGCGTTGTTTAAAGTCCGGCATGTCTGGAGTTCAGGGTCAAGCTGGGGGCAGGTGAGACTGGCATGAGTGAGCCCACGAACGGCCTTCCACGTAACCTTCTAGATTGTCTACAAGACTTAGCCGACAGGGTTAGACTTCGGCTGCTGACAATCTGGAGCCGTTGAGAAGAAACTTAGGTGTCCCCAGCACTTCCGTATAAACATATCTGAAAATGTAACTTGACAAGAATGCCTTAGGACTGGAGTTTGAGTCAACTTTGCTCTGAGCTGATGTTCTATAATTGTCCATTTAAAGCACCGTCAATCTGGGGGAGACTCTTCTCGGCTGGTATCCTACAGAGAATCTCAACGTGCAAAATACACACACAGGCTGCTTTGGTTGATGCAGCACTCTTGCAAACAGAAGGTTCTAGAGAACAGTTTGCACCTGGTCCCATGGACACACCTCAATGACCCCTACATGTTTTTTCTGTCTCTCCCTTAACTAACTACTCGGCCTTGTGAGTTGTTTCCCGGGAATGGTGGATCTTCTACGAGACAGAAGGGCCGAGGTTCTGAAGGCCCTGGGCGCCCCTCCTCACCCCAAGACCCGCCATCCCCACGACCTGCCCCAAGGCTCAGGCCCCTCCCTTAAAACCCCTGGTCTGCATTAGCCAGGGCCAGAGATTCTAGGCAGCTTCTTCTGTTCTCCTGAAAAGACATCTGCCATATTAAAAATTCCTTTCTTCCTGTGCAATCTTCATTGTCTGAACAATTGGCTCTTGCTGTGATGAGCAGCTCGCCCTAGAGCAAAGCCTCCGTGTAGCTTTGACAACGTGCTTAGGGAAGTGGACTTGAGGGTGGCCCCGACACCACACGGCCCCCCTGACACCTACGACAACAAGTTTGAAATTAAAGTCCTGCGCTTCCAAAAGACTGAGTAATTGAATCGATATTTAGAATCTTACTGTTGAAGGGTAACTTAGACGTTATGTACTTGAAGCCCTAATTTTGAAGGGAGCTTCTTCTGCGATGTCTAGAACAGCTTCGTCCAGCAGGGTCACTCAGAAGTGTCTGCGGCCCCCAAGTCTGCCCAGGTCCAGCCTTCCGCAGAGGGGAGGCCTTTGCACCCCCAGCTCACCCTGGCCACGCAGCCTCCTCCGTAGCGGCTTCCACGCCTGCCAATCAAGCGTCTGTCTCATTTAAAGAAGGTCTTTTGGAATAACCAACTCGACATTTCAGCCACCGTGACTCCTGCCGCTCACCGTTAACTTTCTCCAGTTTTTCCTTAAAACAGACTCTCTCCCCGCTGCGCCTCCATTCTCCCACAAGCCTTCCGATTTGTCAACGCTGCCTCTGGAAAATTCCATCACCCCAAATAGGTACATTTCTTTCACAACTTTCTGCCTCCCATGACTGTATGTGCATTTTTAAAAGGTGAATTTGTCATGGAAGGGCCTAGTCAGGGGCTTTTCTGGTTAAAATTACCTTATGAAAATTATTTCATGAAGGGACTATCCACGAAACACAAAGCGAAAAGCAGCTGGACGTGAGGCCGGGCGTGGGCGCCGTCTGGCAGGGCTGACACCTGACTACACTACAAACCAGCACGCCTGTTAGGGCTGCCGGGCACTTGTGCATTTGTGGCAAAAGTAAAACCCAGACCAGCGAGAGGAACCCAGCAGGGCCGTGTGTGGGACGGCTGGAGGGCCACACGCGGAGGGGACAGGAAGTGTCTGCGGCTGTGGGGCTCTCCGCTGAAGGGGCTGCCAGTCTGAGACACCTGCAGGGCACACTGTGGGGCCCTCTTCTAACCGCAGGGGGACAGTGGGGACCCAGCAGGGAGAGATGGGAAGCCCTCGAGTCAGAGCAAGACATTCAGGTAAGGCCACTGCCTCTGCCCCCCCATAGTGCCGCGTCCACACGGGAGCCCTGGTTTCTGGGTGGAAAACTGGACGTGCACTAACACGGTTTCACACGCGTGTGCTGAGCGCGGGAGGAAGGAAGGACGACATCGTGCCGAGGGCTTCGCCATCGCTGTGACACGGGCGGGGAGGTTTCTCTTCCCTCCACTCTGCTTTCCTCATCAGACAACCTTAGTCTGCCAAGATTTTTCTTTCTTTTTTCAAAAAACATTTAAGAATAATGTAAGTTGAGGATATTTTAGACAAGGACAATTGCTGACCGAGGGTCAGTCAAATCTAGGTCTTGGGCTGGAATTGCATCCTTCCTTCCCCTCTTTCCTTCCCTCCCTTTCCTTTTTCCTTTCCGTTCCTTTTCCCTTCCCTTCCGTTTTCCCTTTCCTCCTTTCCTTTTTCCCTCCCTTCCCTTTCCTTCTTTCTTTCCTTTCTTTCTCTCTTTCTTCTTGTTTCTTTTCTTTCTTTCTTCTCTTCCTTTCTTCTTTTTCTTTCTTTATATCTTTCTTCTTTCTTTCATTTTTTTATTTCAGGGTATTATGGGGGTACAAACATTTTGGTTCTGTGTTATGACTTTGCCACACCCAAACCATGACTTAGGGTGTGCCTTTTCCCCCTACAATGCTCATCGTGTCCATTAGTTGTGAGTTCACCTCCCACCCCCCATCCCTGTTGAGCATCGCTACCGTGTGAGCACCACAGTGTTGACCGGTCAGTGCCAGTTCGATGGCGAGGACTCCTTGGAAAGCCAGATGAAAATCCAGCGGAGTTTGAACCCCATGAGCGTTAAGTCACCCCGGGGGCAGGTGAAGGGGTGGGCACAGGAGGTGGGTGTTGCGTGTCTGTGTAGCAAAAGGTTCACCAGTGTGAGCACCTCAAGCATTCTATAGTTTCTCTAAAAGCAAAGGAAATACATCTAATAGCTAATGATCTGGCAGTATTATCCCTTTTGGAGAAATAACTTCAGTTCTCTATTGATTTTTTGATAGACCAAACTAATATGCAAACATATACGGCATTATTTCCCTAACCACTGATCAGAAAGATCAAGCAATACTCACATCCACTGCTTATTTTAATGTCAAATGTTTATTTCTATGCCATAGTTGCCTCAGCACAATTTGTAAAAGAAAGGAATCCAAAAAAATGAATTTTTTTTTGTCAGGATATTTTCTCCACAGTTATAAGAAAGAAAATAAACACCTTGGTACCAGCATTACCATTTCTTTCACATCTTTCTAGTAAGTTGCATCTAAATATTTTCCTTGGATGTCAATTTTTTTTTTTTTTTTTAGGATGAAAAAATATCCACAGGAAAAAATGTTTGGATTCATTAAAATAAACTTGGGATAGTCTTTGTCAGAGAATATATCTAGAACATCTTTGTTTTGGTACACTCTATCGCTAATTGTCATAATCTTATTATTTTAATATAACAGGCATACTTTATTACATAAAACAAAGTGCACTAAAAATGAACAATGTTAGAAACAAACTGAAATTTGGTGTATCTTAAATCTTCGGGTGATTAGATAGTAGCTGAAGCGCGGGTTTACAAATTTCGGATTAATACAAATGCAACTCTCTTCTGTGATTAAAATGCACTTAGTAGCCTAATTCTTGTCGCTTTAGCAGATAGGGCGCCCAATACAACTGAAACAACCTGATAACAAGTTGATTTGTTTGTTTTTTTCAATGAAAAGGAATGCTCTGGTTTCTTTTCTGGCTCCCACGGATGTGGGGGCCAGAAGATGGCATTTGCTCTGTGAATAGACTTCTCCTGGCCGATCTGAGACACGAATCCCCCAAGGTCCTCACAGTGGAAGAGGCACCACGCTCAGATCACAGGCCCGTAGCAAGAGGCTGTCAGCCCCTGAGAGGCGGCGTGGGCCGGCACCGAGAAGACCATGGGGGCTGTGCACAGCAACGCCTTCAGCGACTCGGTGGAAGGATGAGAGTTCTGTAAGTTCATGCACATTTTATTGAGTAGTAATATAAAATGCTTTTTCTTTTTCATTGTTACAAGTGCATGCTTCGATTGCCAACATTTCAGAAGTCAAATTACAAAGGCAAGGCTTTAGGCTGTAGTGAATTACTTGGGCACTTATACAATTATTAAAAAATATGAATGGACTTTTGTTGTTGTTGTTTTCAGAATGAACCAGTTGTAACCCGTAACTGATATACAAAGGGAAAAAAGTGAAAAAAGTACATATTTTGTGGCACATGACAGAACAGAACGAAATAACTAAATTGTTATGACATTAACAGTTACCATGCATTTAGAGTTTCACATGTAACTACAAACTTATTTAAATTTCACAAGGTTTGCTAAACATGCTAACTATCTATGTGTGCACTGACAAGCTTATGTTAAAAACTTTTAAGAATACTCTCCCCTTTAGATTTTTTCAAAGCTTTTTTGATTACAAAATTTCAAAGGCATTAAGCATTTTAGAGAATATAAAGTACGCCAGTATACACACACCTCCAGTACATGTCGGACCACTAAGCGCATTACAGTCCCATACAGGCCGATACAGCCAGTTTTTTTTCTTAAAAAACATGCATAGGCAGATTTTTTTTTTTTACAGAATATAGATGCTTTATCACTTAATATGGTGTCTTGTTCACTATACTTAAAAATGCACCACTCATAAATATTTAATTCAGCAAGCCACAACCAAGACTTGATTTATCAACAAAAAACCCTAAATATAAACAGCAAAAAAAGATAGATGTAATTATTCCAGTTTTTTTAAACTTTAAAAGAAAAGATATTCATTGCCAAATTAATAAGATAAGTGTTATATGGAAAGAAGGGCATTCAAGCACACTAAATAAACCTGAGGTAAGCATAATCTGTACAAAATTAAACTGTCCTTTTTGGCATTTTAACAAATTTGCAACATTCTTTTTTTTTTCTTTTTCTCTTTTTTTTTTAAGACTGCCTAATTCAGTTTATAGCCATTGTCTGACAAGAGTAGCAAAACATTATCAATAAATAGTCCTTATTTAGTTTGTACATCATCTTGTTAAAAATGTTTGATGTCATCCATTTTTAGTGCTGCGACTGTAAACGTACAATAGAGTAAGAAATTAGACAAAGTTTTCATGTCCAGTAACAGAATAAAAGGCCTTTCATTAACCTACCTAGAAGTCCCCGATGCAGTAGGAAAACGTGTTCATTCCCCTAACATTGCAGTCTATTCTAGCGTTAGCTTTCTCTTTAAAATTTTTTCCCTATAAGCATTTTTAAAAGGCATACCCCAAAGAGGTGTTTAGTCACCACCCCCACCAAAATATAGATTTTTTATCTTTCTCCCTCGTTTTTCATGATAGTGTAAACTGAATCCAACTCCTGGCCCCAGAGCACACAAGCCACCGTCAGAGGCAAGAACACCCCACTGCTGGCCGCAGCCACCCACCACGCCCCGCAGCTCGGACGAAAGGACAGTGGCGGGAAGCGGTCACTGGATGTTGCTGCTGTTGCTGCCGTTGCTGTCCGTGCCGTTGGTCTCGGAGGCGAGGGCCTTGTTGATGGAGTTCAGGCTGGCGTCGGAGGGCAGGGCGTCTCTGCGCGGCGGCATCCGCTCGTTGATGCGGTCTAAGCCCTTGGCTTCCTCGAAGCTGGTGATCTTGTGTTGCGGAGAGAATCCTTTGATAGCTAAACAGAAAATCATTAAAGAAGAAAAAACAGGATTAGCTGGAGGAACGCGGAGAGTGGGCGGCGGCGGCAGGTGACACTAGAGGTTTCGCAGTGACAGGGTCCTTTAGTGGAGAACAGAGTGACGGACCTGCACGCCACACGACAGACTCCTTACCATACTTGGAGGTGACCGAAAGGCCCGAAAACAGCCAATGTCTCTTGCCAATCAAAGGGTCCTCTTGAAGTTATGAAGACGTAAGCATTTCTCTGATCTCCATGAAAGTTTGGTTTGGAAACAATCCAAAGTTGGGCATGGAAAGAGGAAAGTGGCTTCCAGGGACAGGCCTCTAGGACCAGCGTCCACTGGCCACACCGTCAGCGTGGTTACGCTCCAACACCCTCACCTAGACGGGCTGCAGTGTGGCCCTGGTTTTGCTCTTCCACTGTGCTAGAATCGCTGCGCCTGTCATGCCTACAAGTCTAGTAAAGGGCTTGAAGCTGAAGCTAAAAGGAGCTAGAAAAGGAATGAGCAGGGCAACTGCCATGCCATCTCAGAATCCCAGAAAGACCTTATTGGCAAACAACTCAATGGTGGCATGAAAAAAGAAATTATAGACTCCCGTTTCCCCCATCAACTTTGGAAGTGCGTGGAGTGAGTGACAAGTTAAGAGAAACTCAGAAAAATCAAGATCAGGTCACTAAGTAGGAAAGCACTGTCTGCCCTTCAGCAGCGAACGGGTCAAACTGATGTTCATCTGGTTTCCATTACTGCCCACGTCAAGGAAAGCTCATCCTCAGTACATCGATGCACACATACGTGGTGGCTAGAGAATGCCTTTCACAAATTGTAGCAAAAACGAATTGGACTGGTTTTGGTCCTATTCAATTAAAATGTGGAATTCTCAAAGTGGGAACAGTGATATTTGATTTTCTTTTTTTAAAATGGAATCCTTAGTGTGCTACAGAGATAAGTATTTGTGCAAGAAACTTAATGGTTTCCTCAGTGTGTGCGCCAACTGGCGAGCTGCAAACAAAACCCGTGAATGGGGAACCAATGACATCAGTTTGCTTTATTCCCTGTGAAGTGCAAGCCAGGTATGCACGGGCCAATCACCAATGCCGAGCTGGACTGCATCTCCATGGCCGATTGGACAATTCCATGGCACCTTTATCCTCCCACCTTATTTGGGAAAAAAAGGAAAGCAGTTTCAAGGTGAAACTCTGCCAACCACTCCTACACAAATGTGCAGTGCCTTCATTAGTACGGATGAGATTCTTAAAAGATACATACAGCACAGTTGTTTCAAAACTCATCAAGCAATGAGAAATAGATTTTAACCCCCTCTGTATTTTCAAGGTTAGCATAATGGTGATTAGTCAACTGTGAGAGGAAGAAGATGGGGAAATGGGGAAAGACCAAGGCCCAAAGCAAAGCTTCTTAATTCTTCTCTGATTTAGTAATAAATTGCAAAGTAATAGAGCTGTCTGATGAGCACCCACCCTGAAAACTAACTCAATTATTTTGAGGGACCAAAAAAATGGCACAAAGTTGTACTCTACTCTTTTTCTAGACTACTGTGAATATAATTTCATTATAATTAGTAAATATAAAAGGTTTATCGTTGTAATTTATGAAGTGATTTTAGTAATTTAAATGGTAATAGTGGAATCTCTAGGTTTTAAAAGCCAATAGGGTGGGAGCGTAGAAATGAGAAATCTAGCTGGAATAACAGAGATTCTGGAATGGGGCTCCATTTCTAATCATTTTTGTCCATCCCGGTATGGAAGAACGTGCTCTGCTGTAGTTGCTGGTCAGACAATGGGTGTTAGCAATTTACATTGGTAGTATACTTAACACAACACAGAGTCACAGAAACCACAGAAAACAGCCAAACTATCAACAAGAATGCACACTGCAGATTAGAATTTGCCAAGAGGAATAGAGAATTCCCGCATAAATAGCAGTTTGTCCGCTGCTATTTAGGAAGCAGTTGTATTTTCTCTTACAGGGCTGCTATTTCCCTGCCGCGTCCAAATCACGTACGGATTGCGAGAGTCTACGGTGGCACTTTTGCATCATACCAAAGGACCATGTGCACACGTTTTTGGGAAAAAACAAAAAGTTATCTTGCAAGAACAAAATACAACTGAAGAATTTTGTTTTAAAGGGGAACTTCAAATTATTCTTTTTTTTTGAAATTTCCAGAGGATATGGTATGTAGAATATCAAAAACTACTTTGAGATGTAGCTCTCTCATCACCATGTCTTTAGAAAGCTCCCAAGGAAAGGGCAACTGCTAACGGGCCAACCCTACCTCCTGGAGCAGCGCTGGGACGCAGGAGGGGCGCGCTTCCCGCTGTCCCCGCAGCACCCCGCAGGTGCCCGGCAGGAGCAGGCCCGCGGGGGACATCCATCAATCGAGCGGTTGCCTGGCACCCACTGTTCTTGTTCTCGGCCACGTCCACAGCCACTAGATACTTCTGAACTCTTTAGACCATTGCGCTGGTGCTAGCTGTCCTGCTAATAGGTTAGAATTTGATGGGAGTACTAGAACTGCTGGTCTCATGCACAGCTGTCTCACGTTGGAATACTTTTTGGAGACATAAATTAATGTCGCACTACAACAAAGCACTGTTCAAATGAACATTTTTTTTCTTTTTCCTTTGGCTACAAACTTCTGAAGACTAGAATTAATAAAGCTATTTTTAATCTCTCCTTTTCATTGCTGCCTGAAAGTGACTGGAGGGAGGGACATGGTTCAGCTCAAGGAATATTGTCTTATATGCTATTCATCAAAACAGCTGCCATAAGCCCCACCCCACATCATTCGAGATACATAATCCTTGTGTTTTCTGTGATTGTACTTAGGTTCATTGTATACAAAAGTCAAACATAAGCTTTAAGGGAAAAAAAAAAAAACGAACAAACAAACCATAGAAGGACATTTTCCCCTTTAAAGCAAGAACATTTTGGTTAATACTGAGCCACAACTGTTAGCTCGACACCCACACACTCTGTACAAGCTACAGCAAAAAAAAAAAAAAAAAAGAAAAGAAAAAAAAAATGAATACACCCAGCAGAGCCCTTGTCTGTTGCGGGTACAACAGAAAGGGGACTGGCCAATTTACCTTCATCAGCCTCAATAGCCTCAACAGTAGCTGAAGAGAAGAAAGGGGGTGCAAAATGAATGAGAAAAATGAGCAGAGGATTTTTTTTAACTCTAAGAACAAATCAGTGACGATCAAAGGAGCTAAGAGAACTAATGTTCCTATAAAGTGCTGGATTCTGGCACAGACAACAAAACAGAAATGCTAAAAAGAAAGAAAAAAAACACCACAAAAATAATACGTTTAATTTATGAACTGGATACACTTATCTGGATGAATTGCTTTGGTTTTTGCCCACTAAATAAATGAAAAAACAATTAACCCTTTAGGAAAATACCAAGGAAATATTCTCTTACTTGGATTGAATTATAACAGATTCTGTAAATATAAAATGTGCTTTTGACTTACTCAGAGTACTATAAAACCTTTGCTACACACTAGGTGATTTACAGTTTAAAAATGCTAGACAAAATGGTAGGACTTTAAGCAGTGCCATAATGTCAGGGGAATAACTCACACTATTCGATATTAAACGGCACTATTTCCTAATGCAACGGAAAGCGGGGGGTTGCAAATTTAAAGGAAAAATAAAATCAGTGAGTCTAAGTTGATAATGCATGTGACTCTTAAAGACAAACTCGGCATGTTTAGATGTGGTGGTGAGGGGCGGGAAGAGGGTGAGGCAGAAGGGAAAATGAAGGAATGATATAGTCTGGACTTCTTCTGCCAGGCAGCCCAGTTTACAATAAGTTTTCTTTTCTTTAGTAGAGTATCATTTTTGGAAGTGAAATTCTTAAAACATTACAAATCAAGTGGTAACAAGCCAGTAGTGGTAATAATTCCATCAGCACTTTTAAAGAATAGGCAGCCTAAATACTGAAAACTCATATATCTACATATGAAGTTTCCTATAAATCTACTGAAATAGCATATTCCAGGGGCAGAACTTTAAAACCCATTGCTTTATCAGAAATTTTTATGATAGGGTTAGGGTCTATCTATATGTTTCACCATATAGATGTATAAGTCTTTCTATGTTATTAAGGGCTAACTGTTAATGAAATGTTAAAATGCCAAACTTCTCTGTAACTCCAGAATTTTTAATATTAAAATTCTACCCCTTGACTTTAATTTGTACTTTTCTTATAATTCAAGGTTTTAAAACTATGGCAACTGCCCAGTGTGCGTTATAACTTACTTCTAGTGCATTCTAGATTCTTTATGATAAAAATGGAGAATGGTTACCACCAAGGAGAAGAGCTAAGTAGCAAAGCTTTAAGTAGCTTCCCCCTTTAGACAATCTGAAGGGCTCTGAATGAATTCTTAAGTTGTATTAAGGTATGTGGTTTAAAATATATACTAAGTTCTCAAATTCTCAGGACGAATAAGATTCCAACCCTTAAGTCTTTTATGTGTGTTTGAGCTCAACATAGAATAACACAAACCAATGAATTTCAAATAAAGTAAAAAAAAAAAAAATCTTAATAACCTAAGATAAATACAGATAAAAATCTGGAAATGAAAGAAAAAATTGGAAAAACTTAAGCAACTTAAGTTTAAAAGGAAAGCAAAAATCTGGAAGCACACCAGCACTCACATACTAGAAATATGTACTGCCCACTACTGAATGTATCTTTCTAAAGCCACCATGGTCCATGTTTCTGACAATATGCTTGCTATGCCTTCAGATGTGCTTATCAGAAACTGCAAATCTCAGTCGATGAGGTGGAGGGTACACTTTGTGCATGTAAACAATCCATTTATACTGATGTTTTAGTGAGCATATTTACTTTGGTGGGAAAACTTCTGTGTTTTTGTAAAGCTATTAAAATAATTTCTAGCCATAAATTTAAAGGGGGATTTACTTCAATACTGTGTATTTTCTTACCATCAATCAAATATTTTTGTCTTTTTGTAAAAACTCAAAGATAATGGTTTTGGAATAAATTCATCTGAAAATAAAGAAATTACTGTGATACTGCTAGCATGTGATCACTTAGCAAGACCATATTCATGAAGCTGATCATTGCTCTTTATGTAGATGAGGTGTATTTAAACAACATAACCATAAGAATAACTGCATCTTTTAGATTCAAGGGGAGGGATAGAAAAGAAAATATAAAAGATTCAAGGAAAGACATAGAAAAATAAGCAAGAGGCTGAGTTTGTTTTGAAAATGTTATGCATATTTGTTTTCCTTTTTTTCTGATACAGTCTAATCTAATAGCAAAATTTCCATAAGGTATTGTTAAAAATTATACTCTAGTTAATGAAAATATTAGTTAAAATCAATAACAAAACAAAAATAACAAAAGTAAAAGGGTGTACAGAACTGTGCTGTCTAACACGGTAGCTACTAGCCACATGTGGCTATTTAAATAAAATTTAATAAAAATTAGATAAAATAAAAAGACTAATTTCTTAGTTGTACTAGTTATATTTCAAATTCTCAATAGTCGTATGCAGCTTCTGTACAGATACAGAAATTTCCATCATCACAAAAAGTTCTGCTGGACAGCACCGGTCTAGAAAGCTACGTATTTTAACACAAAATCTCTAATTTAAAGGCAATGCTATTTATATTTCAAAAATAAAGTGTGGTTCTGCCTAGTTGCTTATGTTTTGGATTGATAAGCCAGAGAAAAGACACACGTGGCTCCCAATTTCTATTCAAGTGGATAAGGAAATTATCTTTTAAAAATATTCTTCTTCTATTCTACACTAAAATCTAGACTTACAGGTATGTATTAGTTTATGTGCATGTGCTTATCAAATAGATAACCAGAATATCTATTAAAAATTTAGTTAAAAAATTGTTTTTGTCAACTGATTGGCTCAACGTAGTCCAACCTACTGTGCGTGCAGGTAGCCCAGAGAGCTGTCTGGTGGATCTGTGGATTAATATGTAAATGAGGGAACGGGAAGGTGGGGTAGAGACCACATCCAGAGGGTGAAGGGGCTATCTATCCTGTTGGACGTGACTGATTCAACTGACTGGGGTCTCAGCTCTTCTCCCAGCCGACAAGAAAAGAACTGAAGACCAAGATGGAGCTTGCATGAATGAATAGATCAGGGCTCTAAGGACACACTGGCTGAGATGCCCGGGCACGCGGCCGCACCAACCCGCCCGCTTACCGCTTTGCAGGGTTTGCTTCCCTCCAGAAAGCACGCCGCTGGGGAGCATGCCAGTCGGGGTCAGGCCTTTCAGCGTCAGCACACTCTCACTCTCTTCTCTGCAAGGCACACGGAGAGGGGCATTAGCTTTCACTTTCTCTTGTGAAAAAGAAGTGTCTTGCAGGAAAAAACACACAGAAGAACCCAGAGTCCTATCTTGGTCCTCTGGATCTCTTTTTTCAACATAGCATATTTTAATACATTTATATGGAGGTAATGCCACCTAAATGACTGCTTCGATACAGTTTACACCATTCAACTGTGGAGGTTCAGTCTCTTCTGAGTAGTGAAGACGGAAACAATTCTCATTTTATAATCAGGCATTATAGTACAAAGTATTTGTCGTGCATGCTCCACGACACCAATAAACATGACAAAAGTGAGCCACAGAGCTGATGGAAGTTTTTCAGCCAATGCTCAGCAAAAACAAGTGGAACTGAAAGAAAACCAGAGAGTGTACCAGAGATTAAAAAAAAAAAAATCTGATGTATGAATTAGGAAATCAGGAATTACATTCAGGGGAGTTTTAGAAACTAAGGAATTTAGGAATTTTGACATTACATGAAAAACATGCAAAATAATGGCAATTAACCAATAAGCCCTGGTAAAATTTCCCAGCTTTTATTTTTCAGCCACTTTTCCACTGATTTGCTAATAAAAAATTATTTTTATTACATAGCACGACAACTTTTTTACAAACAGTTTTAAGTATATCATGTCATCATATTTATTAATTACTTGATAGACTAATCATTTTGATTAATACATCTTAATGATTACATAACCATGAAATAATAACCACCTCATATGTTCCCACACAGCAGACACTGCAGTCCCACCTAACCAGAAACAAATGCTCATTATAGACATACATAATGTTTACTGCGCACAACTGCCTACTCCACGTCTTTACAAAGCTGTCTAATACTTCCCAGACAGCATTCCTGAACTCCTCTCAAACCTGCTGCCTCCACAATCTGTCTGCAACTCAGAAATCGGCAATTCCATTTTTTCGTTAGGAGTAAAGGATTACCCCTTAACTCCTATTACCCTGTCTCATTCCACATGCACTTCATCAGCCAATTTTGAGGGATCTGCCCCCAAAATATTTTGAGTATCTAACCACTTCTCTACCTACTACTTCATCTCTTTGGGACATAGCTTTGTTGAGATATAATTACTACAGCATACAATCCACCTGTTTAAGGTGCCTAGTTCAGTCAGTGGTCTTTAGTATATTCACAGAGTTGTAGTAATGCAACCACCACCACTATCAATTTTAGAACATTTTCATCACTCTCCAAAGAGACTTCGTACCCATTAAGCAGTCACTTCCCATTTCCTTCGGCCTACGTAACTCCTAACCACTTTCTGTAGATTTGTTTCTTCCGGACATTTCATGCACTGAATTCGTATATGCAGTCATACAAAATACGGTCTTCTGCGGCTGCTTCCTCCCGCTCGCCACCAGCCCCTCCTACCCGGAGTGCAGCAGCCTCCGGAAGGGCCTCTCTGCTCCATGCCTGTCACACTCTGACCCCCTCCGCACACAGCTGTCCTCGGCGTGGCAGCCAGGTGAGAGTTTTAACACCTACGCCTGATCTTGTCACTACTGGAGCCGAAACTCTCTAACGGCTTCTCTCCTCCATATGGGCGAAAGGCTAAGTCTTTAGCAGGTTCCACAAGGGCCTTAAAAAACTAGCCCTCAACCCACGCTCTCCAGTGTGCTGGGAGGAAATGGAGTCCAAGACATGGGTTTCCTACGTGGCTGCCTTAAGCCCATAAACTATTTTTTTTTTTTTCAGACAGAGTCTTACTCTCTTGTCCAACCTCAAACTCCTGGGCTCAAGCAATCCTCCTGCCTCAGCCTCCTGAGTAGCTGGGACTACAGGCATGTGCCACCATGCCGGTAATTTTTTCTATATACCCTTTTAGTTGGCCAATTAATTTCTTTTTATTTTTAGTAGAGACAAGGTCTTGCTCTTGCTCAGGCTGGTCTTGAACTCCTGAGCTCAAACGATCCTCCCGCCTTGGCCTCCCAGAGTGCTGGGATTACAGGTGTGAGCGCCCAGCCACATAAACTATTTTAAAATGACCCACCTTCTGAGGTCCTCTTCCTTAGATAGCAGACAGCATGCTCTCAATCCCTAGTGCCTGTGATTGAACATTCTTAGAATATTTCCTCTCTCTTATAACTCCTTGCCTTATAGGTAAGAGTTCTGTTCCTGTGGCAAACAACAGAAATCTATTCTGGCTGATGTTAACAGGAGAGAGATGCATAAAGGGGTATTAGGGAGCTTAGAGAATCAGAGAACTGAGCTTGAATGCTCTCCAGCCAGAGTCCCTCTGCCCTTCCCAGGGCGGGCCAGCCCCAGGAAAGCTGCCACTGCTGTTCTGAGCTCACGCTGGCGCCGCATGGAAGCTCTCCGGTTGTTGCTGGCCCCTTGCTTTCACACCTGGCAGAGCGACCGCCTGCCCTGCTGGCTGCTTCCTCCCGGTGCTCGTTGAGAGACAGAACAGCCTCCCTGTGTCTGTCTGATGGGCAAATCCTAGGCAATGCCTGACCTCACCTGCAAGGGCTGCTCACAGGCGGTTTTCTGGTTCCCTTAGGAACTGTTGCAAATTTCCAAAATGTAAGAAACATGCTGGGCCACTATGCCCGACGAATGTGTACCGCCATCCACACTGATTTAATATATTCTACTTCCCCAAATTCCTTATTGTTTGTCCCTTCCTTTGCATTTCTCCTCCCAAGCCTGCTCTGGCCTTTTGCTTGAATTGCTGCAATAGCTTCCTAAAATATTTTCTCTGTTACCGAGAAGTCGCCTTCCCAGCCAGTCTTCACATTCCCACGATCACACGCAGTGAAACATGGGTTCAGAGCACGCCTCTCATCCCATGAAAATCATGCCCTGACCCCTCATTGCCTAGCACAAAATTGCAAGTATTTTTCTGTGGTTTTCGAGGCACTCATAGATCTGAACTTAAATACATTTTCAGCCTCATTTTTCGCTAGATTCCTCACTCGCCTTCATGTCTTTTACTGTCCAGCCCGTTTACATACTTAGAATCCACCATAGACGACTAGTAATATTGAGAATTCACGCCAGCCTACACCGCTCACTTTCAAGGCGGACTCGCATTAGTGCTGTCCCCAAGTGAGCCAGTCTGGACGCGCGGCTTAGCCTCTTGTGTCGGACACCTCAGAGCAAAGCGAAGTCACCCTGACCTCACGAGTGTCCTGTGCAGATTACTGTCCAACATGCATGGCATGGGGCATGACGAGTGGCTCTTAGCAAGTGCCCCATAAAAGGATGTCACTATTACCGGTCTAAGGACCGCGGAACTGTGCTCCTGATAATTTGTCCGCCTCCACGAATGTCCTCCCCACGATTCTCCGCCTACTGACCCGGCTCACGCCTCCCAGTGTCCCCCCAATGCCAACCTGCCATGCACAGGCAGGAAAGACAGGACTCCTTCCTGGCCAGGGCCACGGCAGGGCACCTGCTCACGTGCTCGCAGCACACTTCCTGGTCTTATGGTAGCTTACTATCTACACATCTCTCATTCCAATTTGCTATCTGCACTGCCTGACTCAGTTTATGGTGCCTATTTAATGCTCAATGATTACTGAGCATAACTTACTCTTCTCTCGCCATGCTCCCTCTATATTCTGTGAATATATTACAGATGCTTTTGTTATAGGAAAACAATAATATATACTTTGTTTTTATTTGCTACCGATATGTGCAATCTTAACTCACTGATCATCACTGGGTTCGAATAATCCGTTTCTCACGGAATAGCTCATGGAAATGCTAGAGCTGTTTTTACGTCCCCTCAGAGACTTGGGATAGAAAAAGAAATAAGAGAATTTATTGGTAAGTCTAAAGTACAATAAAGAAGCAAGTTTCACTCAGGATACCCACTGGGCTTATGCTCTTCACATAGTCCTTTGCCCCCATAGGACATTGTGTAGTCACACGGGCCTCCTCCTGGTCCTTAAACTGCTACTTTGTTCCCGCTTGGGGACCTGTGCCCCTGCCATTCCCTGCGCCTCGACCTCTTTCCCCACTTCTTCACAAAGGTCACCCACCACTGCTCGGTTCTTTGTTGATCACATACCAAAATCCGTGTCCTATCTCCGTTGCTGTTCCCCTACATGGCCTTATTTTTTTTTTTTTCTTCATGGTACCTAATCAATGCTTTAACTTTTATTATACTTATTGCATGAATGACTAAGTCCTGCAAGTGCAGCTAGAAATGAGGAGCAACAGAGCGAAGGCAGCCTCATTCATCAGCTGCGGGAGCCACGCTGCTCTATTTCTAGCTTGTCGTGGGGGTGCCGGCCACCGCAGAGCCACCCGGCTTTCATGTGGCGCCTTTGAGGAAGCATGGTGATGCTTTCATCCTTCTCGTGGCTGCCTGCTCTCTGTGCCAGCCATGTAGTGCCTCTGCGGTGACTGCGCCAGGAGTAGGGCAGGAATAGCAAGAGGAGAAATCAAAAGAGCCAGTGGAGTTGCTACTCTATGAGAAAGAGGTGAGGCAGGACTTGGCAAAAATTAGATTATTAAATTACACCACTGTAGATACAATACTTCCTAAGCTATTCCCATTTTCCTTTATTAATGTGTGTAGCAGAGCTGACTGTATACTCCTCACATATAAACACTCCATAATTTAAAGCAATCTTTTGAAGAGAAATACAGTTACTTTATCTAGAAATACATAACGAATTGAAGTAAACTGTAGTGAATTTCCTTTAAGAAAATATTTGTTTTCCAAATCCATGCTTAATAGTAATAGAATCATTCATGACCTACTTAAAATTATACTGCTATATGGAAATTGAAACATTAAGTAACTTTTTTCCTCTCAATTATTAAAATAATAGAGAGTCACTCGAACAGCTTTATGGCTGATGTTCATTTCCTAGAAATCTAGCGAAATGCATGTGACAGATTCATCTTTTATCACAGAGCCAGAATGAAAAACAGAGAGGATTACAACAACTTTTCCTGTTTGCTAAGATGTTCAACCTGTTGTGAAATAAACGCTCTAAAGTCCTGCAGCAAACAGAGGAATAAAATGTGGTGCAACATTTCCAGATGCTTTCTCTGCAGAAACGGTTTGGGAGTCTGCAACTTAACTGAAAGAGTGAGGGACTGACAATGTGCTCACTGAATTTAATTTTCCTCCTTTACTTTTCAATTTAAAAGAAAAAATAGTAGGTGAAGAAAGGCAAATATTTTCCCGTAAAACATTTAAATTACCAGGTTACAACATTAAAATATTTGTTAAATGACACCCAATAAAATTCAGACCAGAACCAGAGGAACAGCGACGCACCTGAGGACCGAGAACACCCTGGCCATCTTGCCGATGGCGCGGATCTTGTTCCGGATCACCTCCTTCCGCGCTGCAGCCGTCGCTCCTGCGTGTGGAGACAGAGGGTTCAGCTTTAAAATGCAACACCGAAAAAGGCAGTGACTTCTTATCTAATTGTAAGCTCACAAGTTACATACATATATAACAGACTGCAGTAAGCAAAATCAGTGTTTTTTCTCATAAAAAGATTTATCTGTAAATCAAATTTGAAAATCCATACTTTTTGTTTTGTTTTGTTTTGTTTTACCCTTTGGAGTTACGTGATGCAGCAGGACCAGTTGGCTAGAGCCCCGTGTTGCATTTTTGTAGCATAACACAGGTGCACACACAGCGCTGAACCCTGACAGCCTCAGTGCCTGCTCTAACCCATCAGTGTCTACCCCTCGGTCTAGCAAGCCCACTGTGGTCCTGTGCTTTCAAAAGTTTTAACTTAACTTGACAGTTAAGGCATTAGAGAAAAAGGTTTAAGGGTATCTTGACATATACAGGCATTCACTTCAGTTAGTATACTGTTTTCTAGAATAACACTGTTCAAAATAGACTCATTACTGTGATGTTGAAAACTGGAATTTTTCTTATGAAAGTCCAAAGCATCAATAATGAAAAAGTACAATACAAAATAATACATATGAAACCACAATATTCAGTTACAGTTCAAACTAAAAATTACTAACTACATGCGGCTGCTTCATTTTATGTTTTGCATTTGGGCCCCTAGTTCATTCTTATTTAAACTGGTACCTGCTGAGAAAAAGGTCCACCACTTCTTCTAATTTGTTGTCAAGTGTTTTAAAAATAATTTTAATTGATTTTTAATTGTGAGACATTGTGATGGCCAAAAGGCTGTGAAAATACCAAATGTATCTCGTTCCTTCTCCTAAGTTTGTGATGTAAATATTCCAAGACTCCATGCTTGAATCACTTAGCAAGAGGGTATGATTGTGCAGAAGACAGGGAGACGGAGAGAAAACAGTAGGAATGCACAAGAATGTAGCTTCCGTGACAGTTCATGGTGAAGATGGTAGGCACTGGGGGTGTATTTTCTTATCCAAGACTTAAAACTTAGGAAACACCTATGATGCCACTTTAGCTAGACGTAATGGAGACATCTGATTCAAGTTCACATTTTAAATGCCTATTTGCAATCAGCAAGGAGCCAGGTATGCTGCATGCTTCAGCAGAAGTTTGTCTATGTTCAGGCTGCAGTATTTCCAGCCAGCGTGACTGAACAGCGGGCCTGTGGCTTATCTTTGGTGGAGTGTAACATTTGAGCCATTCAAAATCCACGCCTTTGACCGTCAATACTCGAGAGGGCCCCACAGCTGCAAAGAACAACTTCTGAGGGTAAGGAGTTAACTGGAAAATCACTAATCAGGTGGAGGCAGTTTCCGACCCATCTCTTCTAATTGAGTCCCCTTCTCTTCTATTGGTACAAAGAAAACATGCATTGGGGGGAAGAGTTAGTGAGTCACTGGCTTCTTCTACTCCAGTCTCTGTGCTGGGAAGATTACTTTGGGAAACTGCTTTTTCAAAAGTTATCCTTTGAAGTGATCAAAGTAGGGAGCCTCTTAATTCCCTATATTCCTTGGAATATCATTTATATTATTTAATGGTCAGAAGCCATTTGTTTTAGCATCTGATACTCTTTCATCTTCTGGTTGGTTCATGAGTGCTAAAGAAAAAAGTGGAAAACTGATGAACTGGATTTAGTGAGAAATGACAGCACATGGTTTGCATTTTACTGCTGTGTAAAAAAGTTACACATGAGTCTCTCTGGGTAAATTTTACCACTTATTACATTTTCCAAATTAAAAAGTATCAATCTACATAGGTTATTGTTACTACAAACATTTCCTTTTTTAATTATGTTTTTAAATGATACTACATGAACTTTAACAAATCCATTTTATTTTTTCTTCAACCCTCAAAGTATATTTGGAGAAGTAAAAAAATAGAAAAATTCCTCTCTTCTTAAGATTTTTTATAATCCAAGGTACAATGGAGAAGTTATCCCTTTTATACGTTATATGGGACTTTATAGAAAGTGTTAATGCAAGCAGATTACCTTTCTTATTCTACTGCCTCTAATAGATATATTACGAAACATTCCTTTCATATAATGCCAAAAATGTTCCCAATCCAAATGAACAGTGTAAGTCACATAATTTGCTCAGAGACTGCATTCTATAAGTAATAATTGGTGTACATGTTGGTCTTTTAATCTGTGATATGAGCAAATTTTCTGACATTTTTAGAAGGAAAAATTTCTACTGTTTCCCTTAGAGGACTTTTATGAATACAATTTAGAATCTTTTTCATCATTTGATAGGGGGCAAACACACCCTAACATTTCTACAAGGAAGAAAACCTGCAGCAACACACGCAATTGAATGGCTGGAGAAATGGCCTCTGCTCTTCTTTCCACTCCAATAAGTTGAAAACACAATGGGCCACTTTGCCTGGGTGGGTTATTTTCTGAGGTGAGACTGGTGTCTCACAGTGATCCCCAGAGTGTGTGCACGGGCCAGCAAACAGGCTTTCTCCTGCCTTCTCTCTGACTTGAAAAGCAGCCCCCATTTTTGTCTATTTTCTCCTCTCTTGTGGCGATCGCACCGTGGCAGGTGCCTCCCGCACACCCACTGGCAGGACGCACTATTGTCAGCGGTCCTGCCTACAGATGGGCCGAGTCACCTGCATCCACGTGGGAGGAAGCTGTTCTCCACCCTGGGCATTCTGGTGACCAGGCAAAACCATCAGCTCTCAGCCGTATGTTCTTTGAGTTCCTACTGTGCTGGCCAACACTGGAGGTGAAAGTGAGGGGGTGGAGGATCCCTGCCCCAAACCTTATTCTGAGTCTGTAACAGTATTTATTGTCTGCGATTTATAATTAAGATTCTTTATACAACAAATTATCCCCTAGGAACCATCTAAAAGTCTGAATTCTCTGCGCCTGGATTTTAGATGATTAATGACCAAGAGGCTACTATAAATACAGTTTTGTTTTGTTTTGTTTTTGCAGTGGGTTGGCAAGTAAGTTCCTTACGGTGGTCTCCCTACACATGCATTTTCAGTTCTTCAGTCCAATGCTGCTTTCAGTCTAACACGTGCTATGACCACTCTATGTTTAATACTCCCTGCCCAGCTGACCCGATTAACGCAGGGGTAACAACGTGCTAAGTAAGGGAGAAGATTCTGGCACAATCCAACAAACAGTAATGGCCAGATCGTGAAGTCAACCCAATGGCCACAAAGAAGAGAAAGTGTGGGAGAACTCCAAAACTGGTGACTGTATTTAGGAGCACAACAAGAAATACAGCAAGGAGTGTTCAAAATGTCTAGAAATGAAATTGCATATATTTAAGAGAAATGAGAAGGGTAAAATATAAACTCGAATAAGTAAAAAAATATATAAGAATAACCTCACAGAAATTCCATGAAAGGACTTGCGCAAACCACGACCAGAACAACGAAATGTAAAACACTAAGTTGTAAAAGAAGGGAAATAAATTATGTAGAACTGTGCTTCTTAGCTCAATGTGAACTGATGATCAGAAAAATGTTCAAATAAAGATTAAACTTTAAATGTAAATGCCCACATAGCATTTCTTGTGTTTTCAGATCAAATGAATTACTAGAGAATACATAATACTCTGCTTTATGTATACACAGATGTGCTCCCAATAAATGGTGAATCACAGTATGTTGTCGTACTCTTAAGAAAAAATGTTCTCTTTTAAAAATTTCTCAATCTAGGTAATTAAGAAGTGTTATCACTTTTAAAAATAAAATTAGAATATAGTTACTCAAAAAGTCAAATAACCTGACCGTAGATAGTTAAGAAGAGAAATTAGAAATTAGTCTTTTAATTTTATCCTAGAAATTACCTTCAACATTTTCCAGATAATCAAAATCAAAATTAGGTCATACCACACATCTGTAATCTTACAAAGATTAAAAATACACAAATTATCTGGATTAATATGTAAACGAATTTAAAAGAGGTGAATAATAGCAGTATAGAATTAAGGTCAGATGTAAATGTCCCAGTATACTGTATTTAGTATTGCTAGTCCTGGTTTTTGGTAGTTTCCAGAGATCATTAAAACTCTTTTTCCAAAACTTATATTCCATTATAAATCCTCACAGTTTATAATTAAATAGAAACACCAAATGCATGTTTTTCAGAATTTTACTAGCTACAACATGCAAACATGATGTCATATTAAATATTCTTGGTACTATTCTGTGTAAATTGTGGAAACGTACCACAGTAGCTCAAATTAAAATTCAGCATACTAAATAATGAAGGCACACGAAATATCTTTTACATGGAAACTGTGCTAATTATATTTCATTAGAAATAATATAATCACTTATTTCAACATGGAAGTCCCAGACTGAAAAGCAGTTTTTTCTTATATATGTTTAAAAAATTAATAACTTTAAGTAAAATTTCATTTTGTGTGTCCATTCCAATACTGACCACTTCTTTTTTGGGCCTCTCTTTTCAACTCTTGAGATCTTCTTTTATGCCTGGGGTGCCATGCTACTATTTCCAGGATCTAAGCAAGCGGGCACACCCAGTTTCCTCAAACTGGGGGAGGCTGGAATACAGACCGAGGGAGTCTTTAAAGATTTCCTTTTAACACGCGTCCTTCCCGCCCTTAACTGGGCATGCTGCTGACCTCTCACGACATCTGAAGGTGCGTGTGCCAGGTGGCCTGCTAAGGGAGCGCTGTGTCCCCACAGGGTGGGGTCGGCCTCAGGAAGGAACTAGAAAAAGGCAGCTACGCCACACAGAGGAGGGGCCGCGTGCCGGGGTGAAGAGGGCCTCTGACCAGGTGGGTGAGCGCCGTGCACTGCAGATGCTGGCCCGCCATCTGGCTCGGGCACCGCCACTGAGCTGCTACTATAAATTCCTCAGTTTTAACTGCATTACGGTGTACAGAAAGCACTATGTAGAATACAAATAATATCCCGATCATTCATCCATGCGTTACGTGTTCCTATGACTCCTGTGTTGCATGGCCTGCCATGTGCCGGCAA